GTGTGTGTGTGTGTGTGTGTGTGTGTGTGTTTGTGTGTGGGCTCTGCCTCTTCTCAGGTCTTCAGCAGCAAGGTATATTTCGAGTTCCCGGCTCCCAGGTCGAAGTCAACGACATTAAAAATGCATTTGAAAGAGGTGAGTTCCCAGTGAATTGGCCATCTTCTCTTTGATTGATTTTAAATTGCATTTTATTCCCCACAGAAGCCACAGTTTCTCCCACAGGGCTCGAAAGTGCAAATAAAGAGCCTGTGTGTCACATGTATCCCTGTAATGGACATGTAAACCATTTCAGATGCATAATACATAGGATTAGAATCTTGGGGTAATAATAAATGAGGAAACATAACTGCTCAACTGTTTATGTTAACCTCCCGAATGGAAATACACATTTAAAAGCTGCATCAGTGTCAAGTTACACAAAGACTCAATGATTAATGAGTGTTTTCATGTATGTTCTCTCTATAGGAGAGGATCCATTGGAGGATGATCAGATTGATCATGACATCAACTCTGTGGCGGGCGTTCTGAAGCTCTACTTCAGGGGGCTGGAAAACTCGCTGTTCCCTAAAGAGCGTTTCCTCGATCTCATATCTACAACCAGTGAGTCGCACTTCAGGGCAGAAAAATGTCAGGCTTTTATTTGCTGTAGCTAAAGAGTTGTTGTTCTGCTCTTTACTGTTTCTTTCATGTTTTTAGAGCTCGACCCGGGTGCAGAAAGAGCTCATCACCTTCAGCAGATAGTTGTGACTCTTCAGCGGCCTGTGATCATCGTCATGAGATACCTGTTTGCATTTCTAAACCAGTGAGTCCTGTCGTAACAAATTTCACATGTCATGCTTTTATAGTGATACTCACTGCCTCTGTCGTTTCTAGTCTTTCCCAGTACAGTGACGAGAACATGATGGACCCCTACAACCTGGCTATTTGCTTTGGCCCCACGTTGATGCCCATACCAGATGACGAGGACCCTGTGGCCTGCCAAGCGCATGTCAATGAGGTCATTAAGACGGTTATCATCCACCATGAGGTCATTTACCCAACCCAGCGAGAACTGGAGGGACCTGTGTATGAGAAGTGCATGGCTGGAGGGGAAGAGTACTGGTAATTACAAGACAAGCCGTTGTCTGAGTGTGTTCTAAGATAAGATAAAATGAGATTAGATTAGCCTTAGCCTCACTATGGTGATAGTGACATTTGGAACAGTAAAAAGTAATAAATGAGCAAACATGCAATATAAACATGAGAAAATGTGAAAAATTAGAAATGTATTCAAAAGGAAATAAATATAAAAAAATAGTGACAATGTATGTAATGTAAACGGAAGAATTTCATTGTAAGATAATGAAATTTTTTTTTTAGTATTTTTTTTTATTTTATACAATGATCTATGTTTAACACATAAAGTGAGCAGTAAAAAAACATTCATGAGATCCTTCTCTATATAAATATATACTGATACTGTAAAGGAGAGGACAAGCATCATTTTAAAGCAGACGATTATATTGAATAGGTCTTCGGGAAAAAACTTTTTTTCACATCTAAGATGAACATAGTAGACATTTTGTGTCAGTCTTCTTTTTTAATTCTAACTTGATAACATTTTTTTCATTTTGCAGTGAAAGCCCCCACAGTGAGCCCGGAGCTCTTGATGAGGTAGACAATGGTACTGGTCCAAACACTAGTGATGAAGGTGCATCACCAATGACACTCTGCAAACATACCTCTAAGAACAGACACAGGAAATGCTTATATTTCTTGAACCGGGTTGTGTCACATTGTGTGTTGCAGAGGTGGAGCAGATAGAGGCCATAGCAAAGTTTGACTACGTGGGCCGGAGTCCTCGAGAGCTTTCTTTCAAGAAGGGAGCATCTCTGCTGCTCTACCTGCGAGCCTCTGAGGACTGGTGGGAGGGCCGTCATAACGGTGTGGATGGACTGATCCCACATCAGTACATCGTGGTGCAAGACATGTAAGTGCAGTGGCTTTAATCTGGGAAGTCCATGAAAAGTTAATCATGATAAAAATGATTATTTAAATTATTTTAAAAAATGATTGGGGCATCCGCACTAAGTGTTGGTTCCAACCCAGCTCTTTGCTTCGTATCTTCCCCATTCTCTCGCTCCATTTCACACTCACACTCACAGCCCAAAAATAAATCATCACATTATTTCAGAGCCTCTCTCTATCACAGAGTCTGAACCACTCATTACTTATGTTTCTATTCTTACTCTCCCTGTGAGTCAAGATCAGTATAAAATGAACCACCACCTTTTCCTGCATGTTTTTAACATTGTAATTAGCTTTGATGAAAAACAAATCAAATGGCCCCAACTAGCTCTAGAGCTGTAAGGATGGGTGTTTTATTCTTCCTTAACTTGACAGGGCATCACTTGTTTTGGCCTTTTACCCAATAACCTCTCCTGCACCACAGGGTAGGTAAGAAAATCAAAGCCAAATAAAGAAGATGAGTGATTCTGCCAAGTGGTGGCTGTTATGTTTGGTGGTGGTGATAAGTTTTGTCAGAATGAGTAATGTGATTCATGTGATAACATGTTTTTGGCAACAGTGTTGATTGTCGAGGAATCGTGTGTTTGCTTCGAGAGATGGAAGTTCAGCCTCTCACAGTAAAATCCGATAAGAGCTTGTCCTGAAGACAGAGACAGAGATCATTAATCATGACCAATTGTCTGCTGCTGTCTGTCCACATTAGGGATGATGCTTTCTCAGACAGCCTTCAGAGGACCGATAGCGAGGCCAGCAGTGGATCCCACCGTGATGACAGAGCTTCATCCCGAAACGAACGTCAGTCTCCTTGTGAACACACACCTGAGCACCGCTTTGGAGCAGGTTTAGGAAGGTAAGGTTTTTTTAAACTAGTGTTCAAATTTTCAGAGTCAAGCAAAGCAGGACAAAGTGTGAATCCCTGTTGTTGCTTTTTTCATGACTTTGTTAGAGTGAGAGTGCGATCAGATGGAGCTGCAGTTCCACGCCACAGGAACATTGCCGACAGTCACAGCCCCCCCAGAGCTGCAGACCAGCCCCCTAGAGTTATGCCTCGGCCCTGCAGCCCACGCAAAATGGCTGTCAGCAGGGGCCTAACGGACAGCCCCGAGAAACGGCGCCTCACCACGTTTGGCAGTGCAGGCTGCATCAACCACCCAGACAGGAAGGCCTTCATCGACAGCCACTCTCAACGCTCTTCGCCCAGTACCACTCGCCATGCGAGTTTGGGAGACCACAAAGCTCTCGAAGCTGAAGCGCTCGCTGAGGTCAGCAAATTGATCCTGCTTTCTAAATTTACTGTAGTCTGGGGAAATAAAATGTATATTACTTTTTAATACTTTCACCATACTTAAAGGTCCAGTGTGTAAGATTTAGGTGAAAGGGAACTATTGGCAGAAATTTAATGTAGAATAATCCTCATGATGTTTTCACTAGTTTGTTTCATCTAAATTGTATGAATTGTAGTTTTCTTTACCCCAGAAAAGACCCTTTATATTTAAATACTTTATATTTACAATGAGGGGACCCTCTCTACGGAGGCAGCCATGTTTTTTACATTAGTCCAGACTGGACAACCTAAACACCTTTTGAGTTTTTATGAAAAAATTTAAATTCTACACACTGTACCTTAAAGTCACACTTTGTTTTAGTTGCTAACGAGTTCATTGGTAGATACATATGAATGTGAAGATGTAACGTAACTATAAGGAACAATCTTTTATATTAAGCATTTTATTAATAATAAATATCAAAGGGATGATTGATACCTATAAGTAGTTAGAATGGCACTAAGTAGAGCACATACCTCTGCCAAGGCCCAACAGTCGCCTTAAATTCAATCAGGCTGCACCAAATTTCACAAACTCATAGGAATGAGTTCTCTAATTGTGCCTGATTATTTTTTGTCAAGATCCATGATTATTCCCTGGGGAAATGGTGAAAATGTTGAAAAATGCACTGTTGTACAATGTGAATAACAATTGGATCCACCCCAAAATGTATTGGGTCCATCCATGACACATACCACATCCCTTCATGGAAATCCTTGCAGTTACTTTGTGTTATGTTGCTGAAAGATTACACAGAACATTACACACAAGGCAAAAGACAAAACCTTCCTGGTGGAGTAAAAAATATAGAGAATTTTTTACTCCACCAGAAAACATACAGTCGTGGTCAAAGAGTTTTTGAAAAGATAGACTGAAATGTGTTCTCCATCACTGTCACACCTGTTTTTCTGTCAGTCCTTGACAGATTGTTTGAAATCAGTTTAAATCTTTTCTCATGTTTTTCAGGACATAGAGAAAACGATGAATACGGCTCTCCACGAGTTGCGGGAGCTGGAGAGACAGAATGTAGCCAAACATGCCCCCGATGTCGTTCTGGACACTCTGGAACCTCTCAAACACCCCAGTGGAGTCCAGGATCCACCCGGCAGCCCCTTGCACACCATGGTGATCCGGGACCCTGATGCTGCCCAGCGACGTAGCAGCAGCAGCTCCTCCTCCGAGACCATGACCACGTTTAAACCTGCTCTGTCGGCGCGAAGGCCGAGTGCACCTCTAAGGCCCCCGCCTGTCAGACCTGTCCGGCCTGCTCCAGTGATTGGACAGGGGCAGGGACCACACCGCTCCAGCAGCTCTAGCTCCTCTGGTCTGGGCAGCCCAGGCATCACCCCCACTGACAGGGTCTTCCCCAAAGCTCCTTCCCCGTCGCCATCAACCTCCTCCTCCTCCTCAGACAAGCAAGGTAACATGTAGCTCTGTCACAAACTCAAGTGGATGAAGAACACTGTGAATACTGAGTGCTTGTGATTACCACCACACCCCTACACTTCTTTTTGACAGCAAAACAAACTTTGACACCCAGTGTGTATCATAAATATTACCACTAATCTTGTATATCGTAGGACGACTACTGCTGGTTTCTGCCCACACATTTACTAGCTGGTGGACAAGTCAATGTACTCTTTGACAAAAATATATTACACAGAAACAGGATTTAAATATACTAGAATTACTTCTTAGAATGGTACCGTGCTGAATATCCATGCTGGATTAAAAAAAAGGGATGCACTGGAAAATACTTCTGTTTATTGAAATCTGACAATGGAACATCTCATTGAAATGTTATTAGATTATGACGCTATTATGAGCTCGGACTTTGTGTCTGGTTTTCTGTTCCATTATGAGGGAACACTTAAGGGAATATTTCACCACATCCTGTAGACATCCACTCTGTGCGGGTGGTTCATGCATTCTGTCATAATGAGGACGTTTCCTCTGAGAGCCCGTCCCACAGTGTCACTCGTCAGAGCTGAACAGTGGACTCAATTATAAGCAAATGCAGTTCTTGTAATGGCCACTAGATGCTGACTCTTCATGCTGGTGTCCCTGAGTGGTAATATACAGCGTATGTTCACATGCATTTAAAAGAAACTGTGTCACGCAGGAACTGAGACTGAAAAGCTGAAGGCAACACAAAAATGGCATCAGTTTTATCGTCATGGTTAAGGATTATGCTTTTCTAAAACATATAAGATATGCCATTAGAACAATTTTATACATAATTTACATGATACAAGAATTCTACATATAATTTCAGCAAAATGGAGATATTCTATCTAGATATCCTTTTTATGAAACAGACTATTTCTTTGTTCTTCATTTGCAGTCCGAAGATCCACACGAGTCAAATGTTTCTCCACACAAAACATAAACAGCGATTCTTTTTGTGGGTGTTTTTGGTCCAAACAACATTTTGACTAATCTCTATAAACAGGTACGAATGCAGATAAATCAAAGAGCTGATAGCTGATGTATTTCAGTCAATGTTTTCCTCGTCCTTTCCGCCCTTAACACAGACTATTTACCTGCAGGCAAACAAAGCCTGCCCAAAAGTGAGCGGCACCAATATCCTTTCCCTCGCCTAAAGATTCTGTAGAATCACGTACAGAATTTGTTAATAGAAATTCGAAAGTAAGAGGTTGCAAAAGAAAAAAGAAATAAAAAGAAAGTCCTTGTAAACCTTCTAGTACAACTGTCAATCTGGTCAGTCTGCAGCCAATAGCCTGGATTGTGCTATATTAGCTGGTAGCAGCAGCACACTCAACATGGTGCCTCTTTCTGACTCACACAGACCCACACATGAGTTCATCCTGTTTAATTCATGTCAGTGCTGGCAACCAATTCCCAAACATACCTCTAAAGTGTGACAGCAGGAGACAAGAATATGAAACTAACTCAGCCAAAGTTTTATTTTCTTCTTTTCATTCATCTTAGAATATGTGAGCAGCAGAGGTTAACCAGACTTTCACAGAGAACATTGACAATTATTATGGACACACCACTCCTAAGGTAATTAATACATGGAAATAACAATGAAAATGATCTAAATGTTCTTATTATATTTACATGTCTCTTTATTAAAAGATAATCACATAAGCAAAACTTTCTCTTACAATTCAAGTGACTAAGTCACTTAAAAACACAACAGGGAACGGTGCTGCATCTGTGGGTTCTGTGTTTTCATTTTGATGAAACTGCTAGAAACATGATGTAGCACATGAGTATCATTGAAGCTTACGTGATGTCTAGATCACACATGGTCACTTCAGGCTGTGTGCGTGTTTTAGGATGAACTTGTTTTTTTGTTGGTGATTTTTTGTTGTCGGTCTCATGAGAATGATCAATATATCTTTAACGTGTAACAGGTACATTTGAATGAATATATACAGTACATACTGCTAAAGGATACTTGTATAAATAACATTGTATGATAGAAACAGGATATATTATCATATCTAGTGTGTAGATTCTTTTGTAATTCTTATCCTTGCACAAACATTAACAAAACAATAAAGAAATGAAGCCTCACAACATGTTTCTTGTTTCATTTCTGTGAAAGCACATAAAATAGATATACATATAACATCGATTCTATACAAATAATATCAACTCTGCAAAACTATTATTCTTTATTATTAAGCTATAGACTCCTGGTTACACACATCATGTCATCCATCCTTGTCTGACTTCAACACAGGGTGTGTACAGTGAGCACAGTGGTTTTACAGTGCCATCTACTGGTCAGCAAAATACTTGATTTCTGAAGGAATGACAGTGAGATGACGGCCTTCTGCAAAAGCTGGAGCTCAACTGCTGCCTTTGTTTTTACTTCTCTGTATTTAAGTGACTAATAAAAACTATTAATTGTAACTCAATGAGGGGAGTTAAACAGCAAAACAAAAAACTCAAACTCAAAGGCTCAAACTGTGAAATGTTATCAACCGTCACCTTTGGAGGAGGAAACGTTTTTTTATTTTTTTTAAAATATATCAGAAAACTGAACACATCAGATAATGTCTATTTTGAGGTGAACATTTTAACGTTTGAATGGAGTTCCTGATGGACGGCTGAAGTATAAAAAAAAACTATAATAAAGAAAATGGCAGTCAGCAGAAGAACATATAGTTGACGCTGTCAAGGCAATCCAACCAAAGTATATAAAATACCAGCATCCGATGAGCCACCAGATGAGCCTGAGTACAGATGAGCTGGATCATGGATTATTTTCTAGTGTTTGGATTGATATCTCAGGGTCAGTGCTCAAGAAGCCATTGTCTTCCTGCTCTGACAACCACCCATCACCGTTTTATGATCTGGCAGCTGTGAAACATGGTTCATGTATTTCATGCTCATCAAGACATTCAGTTACCACTTGTGCCCTGTGGATGGAGGCATTGTCATCCTGGAACACTGAACAAGAGGAGAGAGAGAAATGTTTTTTTCCACATGAAGGAATTGCTTGCTCAAAATATCACCACCTATATACTTTATATATACCACTAATTACTTGCAGAATCATTTGAAAGTACAGATCACACTTCTGCCCTCGTTGTGGCTTCAAAAGCACAAACTGTCTCCCAGAGATCTTGTTTTCAACACCCTGATCAGGATAATTCTGCTTGACTGTTTTCCTTCTTCTACCAAGGCCAGCACTCACAATCAGGTTCAATTCGTTTTAGTGTGTTTAGTGAGATTTAAGTGAGAGTATAATCAGATTATGACCTCGCCCGAGGCGTGAATGGCTGGAGAGAGGGAACGGACCACCCGTGGACTAACACCCAGTTTTCCGGTCGTGTCCTTCTAGTTCAAAAGGCCTTTTCATTAAATGCTGTGATATGATTAGAAAGGCCACCAGAGTTGTAGCTGTAACACGAGGCTGGGGATTGTGGCATTAAAGCTCTTTGTGTTTCTAAACAACACATCAGTCAGTTCCCATGATTAAATGTTTTGATACATGTTTGAGTCAATAAAGATAATGGATTCATTCGTTGTGGCAGCTTTTGGCATGATATGTATAAATACACTCTTGATTTGTCTTTTGCAGCTTGTTGCAGGCTGCGATATTAAAGGTAGTTCACCGAAAAACAGAAATTCACTAATTTTCTACTCACCACTATACCGATGGAGGGGTGGGTGAAGTGTTTGAGTCCACAAAACACTTTTGGAGTTTCAGGGGGCATTGCAGTCAAATCCAGTACAGTTGAAGTAAATGGTAAACAATTCTTCGAACATGAAAACCATCATAAAATGCCTCCATACTGCTCCTGTGGTGTCTTTAAACCACAACATTCAAAGTCGACCATATTTTTGTCTTTTACTTTTAATTTGATCAAGATTGTTAAAAATGGTGTTAAATCTTGTGGAAAATGTGCAAATTTTGCTTTTAATTTTTTAAAGATTTCTACAGTAAAATCTTCTGAAACTAAACATTGACAGTGTGGCTTGAACCAAAGTGAGGTGAAATAACTGTGTCACCTCTCAAGGATAAAAAAAACTTAACTTTCAGAGAAAAAAACAAATGTAAAATTACTTTCTGAAGGGAAAGGGACAATCTATGAGTTTTCTTTCACTTTGGTGTTTCAACTAAACACTGCATTGTTAATTTTCTTTAGCACAATGAAAACACATTGGACATCAAAGTCATATATTTCTTGCAACCTGTTGCTTTCTGTTATGCTGCAGACATATAACTGAGCAACTTATGCAAAAAAAAAAGAAAGAAAGAAAAGTAACTCACTGCAATAGACTATAAAGCTTTGATTGTCCTGAAAATGGCTGCACATTCACATAGCACAGAAAATGAACCTTTGCTTCTCTGTCCAGAGTTTATGTCCTCCTATGTTCCAAGTTGCTTCACTCACTGGTGCAAATACCTCTGACTTATCTCATGTGATTAACTCCAAGCTGCTGTTTGATCAATGCATTTTAAACAAAGTTCAACCTGACAGGGAAAAGTGGTTCTTATACCCCCCCACTCTCTCACACACACACACACACACACACACGGTTGAAAGTAATTGAAATGATGGAGTCTGTTTCAATGTTTTAATGTTTTTGTATCTGCAGCCATGTGACGTGTTTCACTTAAGCTGAACTTCCAACAACGTGGGCCATTGAAACAGAAACTTCTCAGGTCATTTTTCTTTTTTTTTCTTATCGTTACGCTTTCACAAATTGTTATATTTACCGTGACTATCCTGCTCTCTAACTCCGCACGCCTGGCAGGTCTCGATATCCCATCTTCCACATCATTAGGTTTCCTTTGAGCGTGTAGCTTCAACTGACCTGAACTAATTGTCGACCACAGACCGACCATGTAATGACTCAATCATTCAGACGTTCAGAGATTTCACATCAATCATTTCCTTTCTGCTCATTGTTACACATCACCTACCTCAAAGTCAAACATCAAAACTGACTCAATCCACCATCAGCTGTGTGAATACTGTGTCTGCTGCACACTTTTTTCTACACTCCGCCTGAGTATTAAAATCTATGTTTTTCTGGGAAAGTTGCAAGAATACTCGTTATAAACTGTGTTAACCTGAACATGTAATGCAGCCTTTATATAGAGTATATCTGGTTTCATTGTACATTCCCTTGTCAAGGCTGTAATTCACATTGTATGGGAGGTCAGGATGGGAGTATTATTTTCAGTCACGGTCAGAAACAGCTGCCAACCTTTGTTTTGTTATCTTTCCTGCAGTAACGTCGCTGAATACAATTTATTCACTTTCATCTCCTCCACTTTCCCCCTCAACTGCCTCAACAAAAAGCTCCTGTCAGTCCTTAAGTCTGCATTATTTTACTTGAACGCAACTTCAATTACTTCAAATTGCACCATTTCATAAAAGGTGACAGCTTTGACATTTCAGCCAGACGGAGACAAGAAAAAGAAGATCCAGCTGAGTTTAAAACAACGACAAACAACAGTCTCATCCTGAATTATTTTCAGCAGGGACCAACAACTGATAAAGTGAAACGTAAGTGAATTTAATCATTAGGATGCAGATGTGTCCTATTAAAACAGAGAGTTCCAGTATTTTGTAATTATATTGATATCCCTGCATTTGGAACAGACTGTGTAACACGTGAGAAAGTAGATAACAGAAAAATAAATAATAAAATAAGCGTAAAACTATTCATTGTTGTGTCTAATGGGGTCCTTCTAAAACACCCAGATTGGGGTGAGGTTGATTGGTAACTCTACACTGACTGTAGCTGAATGTAGGTGTGAATGTGTCTCTGGTTATACCCTCAAATGATAAGCAGTAAAAATAATGGATTGATAAAAAAAACAATTTTTATCAATGTTCAACTTAATTTTCATTAAAGACGATGAAGAACATATTAGAAGTTAAATGGAGTGAGCGCCACCATGCAGCCTTTTAAAGACACAAACATCCAGGTGTCTGTTTCCAATCACAGGCACAAGGTGGGGGGGGGGGGGAAGTTGAAATACTCTCATCTGCTCTCTGGCTCTGATTCATTTCACCACAAATACAACTGGAAGGTACGGAGGGAGCTGTCAGGAGAAGCAGGGTCTGATCAACTGCATTTTCTCTGAAGATGGGAACTTTGGCAGAGGAAGAAGGACAGACAATAACTGATGACGGCAGGAGGACTTGTTGCAGTGATTAATATCTCATTCAGTGAATTGGCGGTTCCATTACGGCTACAACTAATGCACTTATGGAAAAAATGCAGGATGTATTTGTCCTGGAGATGAGAGGGATAGAGTTTCCTGCAAAGAGACAATCCTTCACTCAAAGTTAAATTAAAGTTCACAGGTGGAGACATTTTTCAACTGAAGATTAGCTTGAGAAAAGTGATTTCATTGTTATTAATCAACATGGAGAAAAAGGTTCATTCAAAGTTAGCAGAACAGAATCAGCTACCAGTGGCTACTCCCTGTGATCGATATTCCCATAGCAACAAAGGATGAAATAACTATCTCCATTCGTTTTACTTGGCGTTTTAGGGTCTTTTACCACATTGTTTTGTTTTTTTCGACCCAAAACTTTCCTATTTTCATTCTTACATTCAGCCACAACATGATTTTTTTTATATAGTTCCAAATGGCAGACATACGAAGTTGGTGAGTTACAAGTGGCTGTATTGGAGCCTTTAGCAGTTGAAAAGCCAAAAAGTACTTTAAAACTCGAAACTAAAACTGAACCAAAAGATGAATAAATAGAACATTAGACTCCGTTTCACATCTTCACTTCCAATGAATGCTGGATGAGTAACTACAACTGTTTGCGAATGGATTTCTTAATATTAAGTTAAGCCCTCACAGAAAACACTCCTCCTGAAGCTCTGAAACTCTCGTCAGTAGTCCAGCCGATAAGGTAAAGCGAGAGTCGAGGCGGACATTTCCTATGAGCGATAGAAACAGTTGACCAATCACAAAAGAGTGGGCCCATTGGCCAATGGGAGCAGACTGGGTTTTATGGGGACCTTAAAGAAACAGGAACCAAGCATCTCAGACAGAGCCTGAATAGAGGAGCTGCAGCAAAGT